GAATGAAGAGACTGAGGCTGACTGTCTCCAGTTTGGACTCTCTTGTCAAGAGCGAGACTCTAAAGAGAACTGTTAGTTGTTCAAGGGGAAGAAATTATGTCGGAAGAAGGAGTCATCTTAGCACTCATTCACAGTACATTTGGAGGGAAAAATCAGTTAGTCTGGATATGCTGGGGAAAGAATAGGCAGGAGAATTTTCTGAGGATGAAAGTAAACATGTTCAATCATCTTGGGTTATAAAAAGAAACCATTTTCTTTGTTTGAATTGGGCTTTAAATCTCTCCTGAGACTAAGTCTTCTTAAGGGGATGATCAAGGAAGTTAAAGAGGCTTAACACTGATGACATTATGAAGCCAGAAACGAAAAGCTGATTTCCATCCTCCCCCTCCAATGATATAAAGGCCGTTAGAAATCATGCATGTGCCCCAGCTGTGGGATGATATAGACACAGCATTTAGGCTGCTTCTCCCATCTCTGATGCCCATGGAAAAACACAACTAGTTGGTCATGCATCATTTTACTCCCTGAGCCTAGAAAGGGTCCAGAGTTTATAGAATGATTCAGGCTGTGACTCTAACACAACAGTGTGGCTGTGTGATACTTTCTTGCCATGGGAATAGGACATCAGACCATTCCATGAGGAGAAGGATCTCTTTATATAACAATGCACATATCCTTTCCATTCCTCATAAAAAACATTCAAACAAGTGAAATGAAGACTCAAGAATCATTATGTGAGCTTAGAGTCTTTTTATTTTCTTTCTTCCTTCTTTTTCCTTCATTCCTTTCTTTTTGGTACTTTGTTGTTACTGTATTATTATTACTATTGGATGTCTGTGGCAATTCAGGAAGGTTGGCATGGACAGTGTGGTGGAAAGAGGATGCATTCATTCCAAGAGTCCACTGTATTAAGGAAAAGATTATAGGGCGTCTCTCATGTACTGTGAATCTGTGAATTAGATTTAGTGATTTACACACTATTTTCTTTTTACACATCAGTTCTAAGACATAACAACCCAATGAAAAAATGTACATATGGAAACTGAGGCTCTAAGAGGTTAAATCACTTGTCTATAGTCACATAACCGCTAGACAGTTGAGTTAGTTATTAATCCGGCTTTGTCTCACTCTGTAGTTCAAAGATTAGTGATCGCATTCGCAATAAGATTGAACTTCAGAAACTGGACAACCTTTCTCACAGACCACTTAATGTTTCTTAAAATTCTAGAAGGCACCTGGACCTAATAACATTTAATTAACTCTGTTGGGAAGCTGTTCAACAAAAAATTTCAAAGCAAGCTGTATGACATTGTTTCACTCTTAACTTGGAATGCTTTGTTAAAGAGAAGCTTAGGAAAGAAATGAATGAGGATCTTGTTTTGCTCCTCTACCCATTCAGGGACAAGCCTCTCACTTACCTCCTTAAAAGAAAATGATAGCTCCCTTTACTTCCACAGACTTTGGAAGGATCAATATGATGGTATACATACAACACTTTGAATCTCTTAATAGAAAACAAATACTAATTTGTCCAAATACAAGACTATATTATTCCAGTGAAGAGAGAAATCCAACAAGTACATGCACATGCATGCAAATGCATAATTCTTTGTGATGAGTGGAAGCTATTGAGAGCTCTTCTAGAACTCACTCTAGAGTAACACAGAAATCAAAGTCAACTGGTCACTTACCAATAGAACTTAAGACTATTCTATTGCATCATCAGAAAAATGTACTTTTCTGAACCATTGTAACAAGCACTTAAGTATTTCTTAAAATGTGGCCAACTTCCTTTTAACATAGAACTTATTTTAAGAAGTATATATTCCAGGGGCACCTGGGTGGCTCATTTGGTTAACTCTTCATTTTGGCTCAGGTAGTGATCTCAGGGTTGAAGGATCCTCACTCATCACAGAATCTGCTTATCCCTCTTCTTCTGTTCCTCCCCGCTATTCATGCACAATCTCTCTCTTTCTCTCTCAAATAAACAAAATCTTTTAAAAAATCTTTAAAGAGGGGCGCCTGGGTGGCTCAGTTGGTTAAGCGGCTGCCTTCAGCTCGGGTCATGATTCCAGGGTCCTGGGATTGAGCCCCACATCAGGCTCCCTGCTCAGCAGAGAGCCTGCTTCTCTCTCCCCCTCTCCGACGCTCTGCTTACTTGTACTCTCTCTCTAACTCTCTGTCAAATAAACAAACAAAATATTTAAAAAAAAAATCTTTAAAGAAGTGTATATTGTGGTGTATAATTATAAATTATAATTATAAAGCAGTTTTTTTTATCATCTCCTTTCTAAACTTTAAGAAAAATTGGATTTGCCAAGGGAATTTAAAAAAAAAATCAATCAATCCTACTTAAACACTTTAGAGAGGGCTTAATACAAAATAGAATTCCAAATAATAAGATCACAAAATGCAGCACTAATGAAAGATTAGGGCAAATAAACTGAAAGTGGGGAAGAGTATGTTTGATGACTACACTTCTCAGGTTTTCTGGGATACTCCAAATGCCAAATACCCTGTCCTACTCTTTCTTTCATCAACTATTGAAATGATCTAGGGATTTCAATAATTAGCATGCAAGTTAGAATTTCCATACAGCTTTTTATATCCAAAAGTAACATTGACATCTTTTTGAGAGCATGCATTCTGATGATTTGATACAAAATATGAACTAAATGCGGAAACACAAATCAAGCAAGTGCTGAAACAAAAGGAGTTTTACAAGAGGTGTTGATAAGTCACACCTAATGGCTGATAAAGAGAAAAGCAGTTCCTGGCATCCAGGAGCTGGCCTGGCACCCACAGCTAGGCTGTGGTGTTCTGCTGAGCATCAACAATTGGAATGGACACCAACTTCACACAAGACCACTTGGTGACCAAGACGGATCAAGATAAAATCCACACCACTCTGTGATTGTGTTGAACACAAATGCATGAACACAAAAATTTCTGTCCCCACATTCTGGTTAACATGAATTTATCAAGCACAACTTTGCTTCACTCTGTTCTTCACTTCTAGTTAAGGATTAAGATATTCAGTTATAGAATTACTCCCACTTTTTGGCAGCAGCCATTCCAGAGCCATTCCTTCCACATCCTATACAATAAGTCCTTTCTAGCACCCTCTTACCAAGAGGTCCCACTGTTTCTCATGTTCTGCATTCCCTATTGTTGTAATGAGTAAAACACCTAATTTTGTTCAAAAACATGTGTGATTCTGGTGGTCTTTGGCCAATGGGAATTGATACAGTAAGTATAGGTGCACTGTATCCCAACAGAGAAAGCAAACTGTTTTCATTTTGTCCATTCATACCAGCTACAATATATCATTTCTTCAAAGGATACAACAACTAAGAATGGGACCAATGGTTTTATGGACCAGCCTTCCAATACTATCTCTACCTCTCTTCTTAATTTCAAAAATAATTGCATTAGGAAACCATGGTGAGTAAACGGAAAGTAAAGTAATGATATACACTGAAACGAAATAGGAAATAGAAACTTAGTACATGTATAAATTCACATAAAATCAATCACAAGAAACAGGAAAGGCTGCAATGAATGGAAGGATGGTATGAATATATCAATATATCCAATCATAATATTAAATTTGAATTTAATTCAAATTAAAATAAGTTTTAATTTGAAATTTAACATGAAAGAAGGTGTCACAGAACCTTTATATAAGAGATAGAGGCATTGTGGGCATTAGTAGAAACAAGAGCTACTTAATCACCCACTTTGAGAAACTAATCTTATACTGACCGGAGGACTCTCACACTATAATTGACCACATTTGATGATTCTTACCTACACTGTGTGAAATACTATTGACTAGTGATAAGGTAGTGCTTCTCAAACTTTACTGATCATACTAATTACCTGGAAATCTTGTTTAAAGAGCAGATCCTGATTCAAAAAGATTTGGAGTAGATCCCAAGATTCTGCCTTTTTAACAAGCTCCCCAGGGATGCCAATGCTTCTGGTCTAAGGATCATACTAAGTAGTGAAGTATAAAATTTAAATGTTGTGAGGGAAGGCTAAGAAGTTTCTAGAGCCAATGCTTATGCCTGAAATCATTACCTACTGAACTGTTACAGCTCATGACAAGCCCCAACACTTCATCCAAAGGGGGTTGGCAGTCAATAGTTACAAGCTCTCTGGCAGCCTAAGGTTGCTCTGGCCATAGCGAGGTAACTGGATAATGCAAGTGCTTCCTGCAGCATTAGCCACTATTCATACTCTGTCAGAGCAAGACCAGAATATTCCTTTTCTGGAATCGAAGGCAAAAGGAACCTTTCCTTTATTAAGATCTTTAATCTCCTCGATCTTTGTCTCTTTGGAACCCTACAATCTTCACTTCCCAGCATATCTCCTCACTACCCAAAGCTTGGTTCAATTCAGGTTTTATATATAGTTCATGTCCTAGGCATTAACACTTCATAAATGGTTTCCTTGAGGAGGTTTTGGTCAGTTCACTCTTGAATAATTATAGACACCAAAAAACCTATATTCTGCTCAAGGGTAACCTAACTGACCCTATGCCCTCAAGGTTAATAACCCAAAAGCTGAGAGATGAAATGGAACTAAGAGTTCATCTAGTTTACTTTGCTTTGTGAGCTGTAATCAGCTCACAATAATGTGAAACATTATGCTGATAATACTAATTCAGACCCATGATATACTATTTTTGATACTGTTCTCAATGTCATAAAAGATGTCTCTAGAATATCCATGAGCCAATTCACAGTTCTTCTTCTAGCCACACTTCCAATTATCTATCCAGACATCAAAATACAGATTTTTAAAACAAAAATAAAACTATTTTGTGTTTGCATTGAGAAAAACATGACATTCCTCTAAGCATCAAGAATGGATTATAGCTTTACCATTTACTACAAGTATTTTGATAATCAACTAGGGAATCTATAAAAATAAATACAAGAGCAGTTATTCAATATTGTTGGTCCCATCTATTATTTAACAAAGAATAAAATTACCAGTTCGAGGTGAGAGTTTGGAATCTTCTGATGTTTTACTTGTAGGCACAATCCATGGCTTTCCACTTGAAGCTATAGCAAAAGAAATGGAATTCACTGAGGTTTCTTTGTTTGTTTTTGTTTTGTCTTGTTTTGTTTGGAGAAGAGAAAGGGACAGAAGTAGGTTGTCGGTATGGTTAAGTGGCCACCAGAAGCTTGCAATAAAAACAAGTGCTAATCCAATCCAAATTTATTTTATATCAAGAAATCAATATGCATCTATCCAGAGATCATTTGATTAGTGATCAGAAAAAGACCAGATTTGGGGGGTGCCTGGGTGGCGCTGTCAGTTAAGCACCCAACTCCTGGTTTTGGCTCGGGCTTGATCTCAGGGTTCCGAGATCCAGCTCTTCCTCAGGCTTCCCCACTCAGTGCATCCTGCTTGAGTTTCCCTCTCCCTCTTCCTTGCCCCTCCCCCACCCTGCCCACCCTGTGTGCATGCATGCTCACACAGGCACTCTCTCTCACTGAAATAAATCTTTAAAAAAAGAGAGAGACCAGAGTTCAGTGTCATTTTTCAGCATTTTTTCAGGATAAACCCCAAACCTGTATAAAATTAACATATTGATGATTGTTACTGTATCTGTAGAAAATGTAATGAGACAAATAGACTTCTTTTCTGTCTGTTTTAAAATCAACCCCTTGTTTGGCTGAGTTAATTAAGCCATCACTACCCCTATCTTAATGCCAGCTTTAAGGTGCTGCTATTACCCAGAGTGCCCTCAGGCTTCTCAAAGGGGAAGGGTGTGTTTGCCTGAGGAAATTCTGGAAGCCTTTTCGGAGCTGCAATGAAACACATAACAAATGTTATAACCTGAGGTACAAGTAAGAGAAAAGAGATTTTTCAAAATCTCAAGCTTGCAAAAACAGAAAAACAAACACAAAAAAGCAAATTACTCTTGTCAAGTAAGGTATTGTTAGTAGTATTTCTTACTCTTGTGGTTTTGATGCTGGATACTATAATAGTGCTTCTATTTCTATTTTTTATAATCAAGCTACTAAATTGGAGGAATTTGTGTTCTTCTTTTCACCCTAACTACTGTCTTAATTTCCTTAGTCTTGCATATGTGTGCCCTTACATATATTTCATCTTAACTCAAATCATATATTTCATTTTAACTCAAATCAAGCAGCAAACACATCTGAACTAAAAAAAAAAGTCCATCGAATAAAAAGAATCAAATAGAATATCAGAATGTGACCACCAAAAAGAAAAAACACCAAATTATTTGTCATAAAGATTCTGTAGGATCCTAAATTGTAAAATATAACGGTTAAAGGCTTGATGTTGGGGATCTTATTGTTCTAGAAACCATGTGTCCCTTCTTTCTTATGAGGAGATACATTTGAATGAATAAGCCTAAGGATTTCTTTAAAGCATGAATAAAACTTCCAAGGCAATAACAAGCTGCAATGTTGAGTAATTTTTACCTAGAGTGCTCAGGGGCAATTCAAACCTAGGTATTAGAATAGTTTGCAGGATTTCCGGCGTCCTTTCGCTGAGAACTAAAATAAAGAAGAATTCAGTCAGCAACTCCTTGAGGCAGGATTTGACATTGTGGCTCACACTCAATCATGGGAAGCATGCTCATAACACAGTGTGCACAAGGCAGCTGATGCCTTTCATGGAAACAGCTGGCTCCCCCAGGAAAAGCTTCACATAGCTATTAAAATGTGAAGGTATAGTTTCAGAGGGCATGACGTGGCATGGGAGATCAACATCACAAGTACACAACAAAAGACATGCTGCTCCTTTTCTTCAGCAGAAGACAACAAAGCAAGACTCTCTTGGGCCAGGAAGCAGCTAACTTGCATGACATGAAATTCTTATTAAAAAGCAGGACACTTTTGGGGATTCTCCTTAAGTTTAGTGCACAGAAGCCTCAGGAAGCCTATTGAAACAGAAAGCACAGACACAGTCAAGACTTCCAGGTTTCCCCAACCCCTCCAAGATTTGTGGGTTAAAAGGCTGGCATTCTCGTTTTTTTCTATACATCCCAAGAGACCAGTAAAAGGTGTGTGTAGTCGGCCTCTAGCATCCCAAGCTGCCTAGAATATCAGTCACCAGGATCAAGGCATGTTGTTAACTCTGTAACGGAATTGGCCCAAGAAATGGACGAATAACAACTGCCAATAAAGGGGGGAAATAAAAGGAATGGGGGAACTAAGGCATTGGGGTTACTTTTTGTTTTTATGAGTGTTGGGAGTTAAGAAAAAAAAATGTTAAAATTACCTAGTGTTTTTTCTGAAAAGTCGAGTGCACTAGACACAGTGGGTTTCGTGGTCCTTGGCATTGACTCTGGCACTGGAAGGTAAAAAAAGACAGCTTTACAAATTCAGATAAAATAATGAAGCAACCAAAGATCATAAGGTGCTTTTGTTGCCCTTTAGAATTAGTAACTGACACTTAAATTGACCAATTCTTTTCAAGTTAATTAAGGACTCCCTGGCTTTCCCCAAATGCCTGAGCTGATACTTCTTCCAACGTTGCCTTGCTGAGTTTGGTCCACTTTCCCTGTGTTCCAAAAATCACAGTGAGCTGACCTTGTTGAAAGCACTTATTAATCATAATTTTTTTCCTTGTCTTTTTCTTTCTTATTATCTCCAGGGCTCAGCACAATGTCTGGGGTATAGTCAGCAAGCATATGACAAATATTAAATGAATTAATAAATGGGCAAATTAAAGAATGACCCAAGGCAGAAAGGTTTATTGAGAACTATTACATTAAAGATTTCTCTCTTCCAAACGGCAGTCAGCATGCAAAGCTCGGAACTGGATTATAATTACGGTAAGGAATCAAACGCTCAGCCGCGAGACACAAAATAAACACAACACTGAATAATCAGGTATAGTGTTTGCCTAAGTGTTTCTGAATAGGAAAATTCTGAAGAAGGTTTGGCTGAGAACAAAGAAATCTGTAGACTCTCCCGTCAGATGCTGTGCCAAGGGAGGAAAGTATAATGGGAAAAATGGGTTGGATCTTTGGGGCCGAAAAGAACTTGGAGTCATCTACTGGGTCATTCCTATGTTTTTCTTGGTGCCGACAAATTATATTGAAATTAGAAAAATTACCTAGGAATTTTGTTTGAATAGAATATTCTAGCACCTTATATAGTTTGTACCTTTGTCCTAACACCCATGAAGGTGGGTGATGGAAGGTCCATCTTCCATGTAGGTAGGAGCCAAGACTTCCTACTCTGTCAGAAATAGTCCTACTTGGATAGGTTTCTTGAGATCAAGTTATTCTAGTTCCCCACCAATCTTTATCTTTTCTGGAACAGTTATGAATCCAAGAGTTTAGTGTAAAGTAAATAATCACTGATATTTCAAATTATGGCAGTTTTGTGGATTAAAAAATTCACTTTTAGATTGAAGATGTTTTGCTAAATGTGGATTTGGGGAAATTCTGGCCAAATGTTTGTTTTACTAGGCCCTGGATGAGGTGGTATTGCTCTGGCAAAAACTTTGTGGTTCAGAGAGTAACATGTCCCCAGTGGGCTGGACTTAGGCAGTTCATTCAAAGAAGAAATGCTGAATGTTTGTTAGTAAAGGTTGATAAACTATGGGGAAAATGTATCCCACATTTATTCTTTAAAGGATTTTCACTGAACTATAACATATTTCTTTATAGTAGGATTATTAATCTTCTATAGATTAATCTTCCATAGAACAATTAATCTAATTGTCCTAAATGATTCTAGGGCACTTTCATAGTTATCATGCTAATGGGTTTCAAAGGAATTATGGCATTTTGCTAAACTGACCACTTGTGAAAGAAATGGAAAATGAGCTCACATCTTCATATGAAAGGAAAGCACATGAACCATAGTATTACATTCTAGTATAAAAATATCCTAAACATTGAGGGGACAACTTTCACTTAGTGTGAAAAATACAGCTTCCATATTATATATTGGGTCATATGATTCCATAGTTCCTTCTGCATCAGCTGTTTTTCCAAATGTTAAATTAAGGATCTATAATCTCTTATCGTTTGTGCTTATGATGAAAATTAATCTCCTAGTGGTCCTTCACCAGAAAAAAGGATAAGCTCATCAACCATTTATCATTTCTCAAAATATTTATTCTCTCGAAGTTAACAACATAGGGATCTCATTACCTGTTATGGCCCGTGCTGGGATTTTTTCTACCTCTGGTGTTTTAGATTCAGCAGGTAATGCCAACGTTTCATTCTTAGCTAAGAAGTCAGAGAACAATCAATCACCTCACTTCTTCATAACACAGTGCCCAAATAGAATTCATTCAAAACATCAAGTAACAGATTATTTCAAAAAATCAATTTTGCTCTTAATTATTCCCACCAGGCAGTCAACAAATTTATTGTGCATTTCCACCAGGGATTCTTCAGAATTCCGTCTCATGAACTCTAGGTACTTCTTTAAGATTTAAATTGGCATTGGGATGAAGAAAAAAAAACCACAACATAACTTAAAGACAATTATAAAGTCATCCCTTTCACAATGATAAGAGAAGCAAATCAGTTTTCAGTCTATATTATAGAAGTCTACGATAGATTTTTCCATAGAGCTGATTATTTTTGGGAGTGTTTTAAGATGCTAGACACAGGTGTCACAGGTGTTACTGTGTTTGCCATATCTAATGGTCACAGGTGTATTTTGAATTCATGTGTACATGAAGTTGTACAGCATTTTTGCCCAACAGAAATGTTAAATACATTGTTCAAATTAATTGAGCAGGGCATAAAGAGAAGGGACTCTCTGAAATAACTAAAAAACTAGTCCAGTAGAAATTTATGGTGATTTCCATTCTTAAAATATCTAAATTTAATCAACATTTTTTCTGTTGTAGTCACAGCTTTTGTTTAGAATCATCATGATTGTTAGCATAGGAAAAAAAATTCAGATCACAGATTTTTATGAACGTTGGTCCTGTTATTTTCAAGGTGTACCATGGGAAGTGTTTTTTTGTTTGTTTTGTTTTGTTTTTTAAGTGTGAGATTATAAGGTTTTCCTTAGTGCTCTCCTTCAGGGTCCTCTTCTCTCTTAAGACATCTTTGTTAATCCTCTCCTTCCTGTGTAACAGCCTACATTCTCAGTTGTTTCCTTGGCTGACTAGGTCTATTTATTTATTTTAACCTACAGATCCTATATTTTATTTTTTTTATTAGTGATTTTTGTGTTACTGATCTGACCTTTTTTTTTTTGAATCCTCTTATTTTTTACTTACTATTTTTTTTTGAATTTTATTTGTTATTTATTTTCAAGTTTTTAGTTAGTTTACAATTAGTTAACATATAGTGTAATATGAATTCCAAGTGTAATATGAATTCCAGGTGTACAGTTTAGAGATTCAACACTTATTTATTATTTAAAAATTTTTTTTTATTGTGCTATGTTAGTCACCATGCAGTATATCATTAGTTTTTGATGTAAAGTTCCATGATTCATTGTTTGCATATAACACCCAGTGCTCCATGTAATACATGCCCTCCTTAATACCCATTACTGAGCTATGCCATTCCTCTACACCCCTCCCTTCTAAACTCTTCAATGGAATATTATTCAGCCATCAGAAAGGATGAATACCCGACTTTTTGCACCAACTTGGATGGGACTGGAAGAGATTATGCTAAGTGAAATAAGTCAAGCAGAGAAAGTCAATTATTTTATGGCTTCAATTATTTGTGGAACATAAGGAATAGCAGGGAAGATATTAGCAGATCCTATACTTTCAAACAAATGCCCTTAATTACTTAATTACTTTGCTTAATTACTTTGCCCTCAGCCAGCAATCACATTAGCCTAAAATTGGGCTGTTAATGGCGGGGGGTGCGGGGGTAAGCTACCTTCCCAAGAGACATTTGTATTCTTTACACATCACTAATTCCTTACAAAGGCATACTATATTTCTAAATACATTATTTCAGTTGTCAGAGAAATTGGTAGGTGGGGAAGATATTTGCATGAGAGAACTTTCATGTCTCTTACCAACCCATTAGTACTCACCTACACTTTCTATAGACCACTGGAGTTCTGGCAAGAGCAGAGTAAAATGCCACAAGAATATGGTCTAAATCCCAGGAAATTCCCTTTCCTCTCTGATTCTTCTGTACCTTTTTCAACACAGTTGTTTCCTTTCATTTTTGGCAGGCTAAATCTTGGCTTTGGCAAACACTTTGTATGCCCCAGGGAGGGGTGTGTGTAATACTAGCTTTCTTGTTTACTTCTCTCATTATTCACACCATGTGTTCTTAGGACAAAAGCTATTAATTTCTTGATGTCCCATGATGGGTCCCGCTGGAATGAGGATATTATTTTTAGGATTTACCCCCTCAAAAAATACTACTTTTCTGAATTGCAGTGTTAAATAACTTCAGGTAAGTTGACTTCTCCCTTGCTGGTATAAAGAACTATTTAACAGTATCTCTTTCCATTAAAAACAGTAAACTTAAAATGTAATTTTTAATACAGTCTGTCACGGTGGCACATTTGATGGATTTGCTGGGCATTTTCAAAGATACTAGCTATTAAGCTCTTCGATGCATAAGAAATTTGTCATGTGTTAAATTTAAGATGGTGTTTCCACAGAAAAACAAGTCAAAAAAGATATTTTTTGTTTGCATACAATTTTTCTTTATTGAAATCACACTCAATCCTGAAAGTGTTTAGTGAATCATATCAGAAAGATAAAAGGAAAAAGTAAATAAAACAAATGCACTGTTTTATTCTCTAAAGGAAACAGAAAGACGGAATGGGTATTAAGGTAGTGCTTGGAACTTAGCAAAACCCCAAAAGTTTAGGAAATATCACTCAAGACTAAAGAACACAACATGCTCCAGTTCAAAACTGACGGTGGTGGACTGGGTAAAACTGCTCATTTTCAACCTCCTTCACAAATTCTGTATTTTGTAGTTTTGCTGGATGGATGAAGGGTCACATCAGCAAGAGACTGGTCAGTTCCTTTTTTTCCCCCCTCCTTCCAAACAAGACTTTCCCAGGGGCAGGGCAGGGCAAGGCATATAGGCTCCGGGCAGGGAACAGGGGAGCACAAGAACACTGAGCACTGGATTCCGAACATAGGTTCAGTGAAGAAAGTTAATTTGGAAGGTTCCCAGATTTTAGCACAGCATTTAGATATTGCAGGGTTTGGTGACAGTTTTATAGTTAAAAAAGAGGTGATCAAGTCTGATGTACAAATTAAAGAAATGATGTCTAAAGTCACTCATCTACATTCTCAGAGGTAACTCACTCTGGGACTAATAATTTGTAGTTATGCCAGAGAGTAACACTTGGTCATTATGTGTTGATTGAATGTAGCCACACAGGGGTCCGGGGGTCTATTTCTGCACCCACACAAGGTGAACATTCATTTATGGAAGTATGAAAATTCTTCTCTAGTGCCTGATTCAGAGAAAATATTCTGCATTTTTTAGTCTAGTTCAATGTCTACCACATCATGCCATCTCTTTCCGCATTTATCAATAGCTCAAGAGCATCTCCCAAGACTATGGAAGGGTGGTTCTTAAAGTATGGTTCCCAGGCAAGTGGCTTCAGTATCTCCTGGGTGCTAGTTTGAAAGGCAAATTCTCGGGTCCTTCCCCTCATCTACTGAACCAGGACCTCTGCAGGTGGGTCCTGCAATCTGGGCTCAGAAGCCCACCAGGCTTCTCATGCTCCATCAAGCTTGAGATGCTATAATATACATCACGAGGGTCCTGACTAATTTGATACTCAATGCAGCAACTAATTTACCCCAGTGAGCACCGCAATTATTCCATGGGCTCCTATTAAAGGGTTTTGTTGGGTTTGATTCCCAATAAATCATTATGTTTTTATTTTTTATTTTTAAAAAGATTTATTTATTTATTTATTTGACAGACAGAGATCACAAGTAGGCAGACAGGCAGGCAGAGAGAGAGGGAGAGGCAGGATCCCTGCCAAGCAGAGAGCTCGATGCAGGGCTAGATCCCAGGACCCTGAGATCACAGCCTGAGCTGAAGGCAGAGGCTTAACCCACTGAGCCACCCAGGCACCCCTCTTGTGTTTTTAAAAACACTGAAATTATATCAAGCTCTTTCTACAAGTGAGAGGCAGTATCAGTCTCAAGTAATTAATAATTCAAACACACCTGAACTCTACATCAGCTCTCATTGAAAACATCTCATGACCCCTTGACAGTACAACAATTTTCTAACAATCACTCTATTTGAAAATTTTACCTAGATAAATATATGTATTTTGGATAATTCGATAAATGTTCACTTTTAAAAAATATATAAACATATGTTATATAATATATATATTAATATATACAATATATAATAACTATTTACCTATAGAATGTGATTTATATAAATTTTTCCAGCACTCCAATCTCTCTGCCCCTCCCTCCTTTTTTTTTTATCATGGTAAAATACACATAATATAAAACATATGATCTTAACCTTTTCAGGTGTATACTTCAGTAATATTAAATACATTCATAATGTTGTGCAACTATCACCACTGTCCATCTCCAAAACTCTTCTTATAAAACTCTTCTTATAAAAGCAAAACTGTATCATTAAACACTAACTTCCCATTTTCCTCTTCCCTCCAGTTCCTAGCAATCACCATTATATTTCTGCTCTAGGTATCTCGTGTAAGTGGAATTATACAGTATTTGTCTTTTTGTGACTGGCTTATTTCACTTAGCATACTGTCCTCATGTTTCATCCATCCTGTAGCATGTGTCAGAATTTCCTTCCTTCTTACAGTTGAATAATATTGCATTGCATATATACCCACATTTTGCTTACCCATTCATTCTTTTTTAAATTTTTTAAAATTCTTAAAACTCTTACTTAAATTCTGGTTAACATACTGTATAGTATTAGTTTCAGGTTTAAAATATAGTGATTCAACACTTGCATACATCACCCAGAGCTAGTCACAAGTGTGCTCCTTTATCCCTATCACCCATTTAACATCCCCCCACCCACCTGGTAACCCATTGGTTTGTTCTCTATAGTTAAGAGTCTGTTTCTTGATTTGCCTCTCTCTCTCTCTCTCTCTCTCTCCTTTCCCCCTCTTTGCTCAATTGTGTTATTTCTTAAATTTCACATGCGTGAAATCATATGGTATTTGTCTTTCTCTGAGTTAGTTTACTTAGCATAATACCTCTAGCTCCATCCATGTTGTTGCAAATGGCAAGATTTCATTCTTTTTTGTGGTGAAGTAATATTCCATTGTGTATAGAGATCACATCTTTACCTATTCATCAGTTGATGGACACTTGGGCTGTTTCCATAATTTGGTGATTGTAGATAATACTGCTATAAACATCAGGGTGCCTACCCCTTCATTTGTTGATGGACACATGAGTTGCTTCGATGCTTTAGCTATTGTGAATAATGTTAGTGTGAACATAGATGTCCAAATACCTCTTTGATAACTTTTTCCCAGTTCTTTTGGATTTATACCCAGAAGTGGAATTGCTGGATCGCGTGGTAATTCTATGTCGGATTTTTTGCCACAGCAGCTGTACCATTTTTTATTCCCATCAACAGTGCACATGCCTGTCCCTTACCATTTACTTTGAAATGCCCCAATAGCTCATTTGCTAGATTCCTTGGGTATCCTAGGATCATCAGTGCTAGTACTTAGTCACCACCAAGTTCAAAAATGGAACATTCCTGCTTACCTAACTGTGTCTTGATTGCATCGGAAATCTCAAGCATTATGGATGCAGGAAGTTTAACAGTGGTTTCATTAAGGCCTGGAATAATAAGATGGACTGCAAGAAAATAGAATAGGGTAAGAGAAAGTAAGTGCATCATGACATAAAATAAAGTTCAGAGCACCAGGTAACAAAATAAAGCTTTGCACTTATATGGCATCATCAATTTTAACTCAAACCTAAAAAAAAATATGACTGTACTTTAAACAGATTTTTTTAAATGTTCAGAACTGAACTACAAAATCCTCTAGCTTTTAATCCATAGACTCAAAAATAGTAAAATGGCTATTTAACATATACAGAGAACAAAATGCCATTATTAATAATAACTTTTAAAAGAGCAGTTCGATGCAATAAGGACTACCTCCTAACAACAACAACACTATGGGGCAAGTAAGATGGGTGCCATCATTCCCACTAGGAGTGGGCTAGAGTTGTTTCTCTAACACACACTTAATAGAGGTAGCCTCTCTTGGCTCCTAGCCAGGCATGGACACAAGCCAGAATGCTCAATATCAAAAGGAAATGAACCAATATCAATTTAATAGATCTGCTAACAATGTAAAATTCCATAAGTGCCCTATTAACCAAAAGTAGCCTGACATGCTTACTCTAAGTACAGATACCAACATACACTCACCTAATATTGTTCCTCCAAAGGGAGTCTTATCTGGGGATTTAGTTGAAGCCCTGTGAGTAACATTCTGAATCACTGTGGAAATACAAAAGGTAACAGTGTGATGGAAAAAAATCGTCAGGAAGCAGTAAATAGCTGTAATGTGAAAACATCTGCACTGGGGAAGCCCTAATATAACTTTTAATTTAATATAAATTAACTCTTTGGACTGGTACACAGTCAACGAAAGGACTGGAAGCCACATCTCACCTTCACACCTATGACTTCAAGTAATGAAAGGTTATTATTCAATCATAAAGTGCTCCATTTAAATAAACTGAAAATTTCCTTCCTCATCTCCATTCTCTGATGCCTTCCCAAGTTAAAGAAATAGCACAAAATGAGGCAATTCATACAGTAAATCTTAAAAAGTAAAAATGTATATTATCAAAGCAAAGAATCTCGATTAGTCCAATACTGACACTGTTTTGAGAATACACTTGAGACTGTGTTTTCTTAAAATGAGTAATTAAGTATCCAATTTCTTCTACCAAGGAACTTTCTGGAAATAAAAGAGTCATTTTAATAATTTAAAAAACTGAAAGTCAAAAGAAAAACTGGATACTGCAATAAAATGGACATAATTCTTGAAAACTGTAGGTATTTACTCTCCCCCAAAGGAGCACTAAATTATAATTTTTATTTCACTAATTAAAATATCCTGTTAATGATTTTCTTCATGTATGCCAACTTAACCCTGAACAAAGCCACACATATTTAGATGGATTTTAAAATTTAATCCTTATTGTGATTGCTTTGTACCAAAAGTTTTACTTTGGTAAAACACAACCAATGTGACTTGCCAAGACTTGGCCTATTGGTACAAGAGCCAAAATTATCTATTAACTTCTAATTTTCTAGAAGATACTTATTTCTTCACACTTTTGCTTTAAAATGATTGGAAAAATTGAGGGGAAAAAGTGCTGTATTTAATTATTTCAGTGAAAAAGTATATGAAAAATAGTTCTAAACTGTTAACTGTATTAGAATTAAAACAAACCAAAAAAATAGGTGAAAACATGCATCCAGAACAGACTCATACAAATTACCTTGTTTGATGACTGTTATTGGAATTAGCTTCCTTGGGACATATGCTGGCTGAAGAGAGAAGACAGTGAGCTTTTTAGTTAGTGTTAACTTTTTTAAAAAAGAAAGATGTAAAAACTGGAAATATCCCTGTATTATCTACAGTGGCTGGAAAGATCTTTAGTGCATATATCTACCTCTATTCTATTGGACTCATTTGGTTTTCCCTACAAATGTCCAAAGGCTTGAAAGAAGTGGTCTCGGCAGAACTCCATTATTTTAGTTGACCTGGAAACTGCAATGGAAGGAGCTAAGTCATGCAAATAGACTACCAGGTGATTTCTCACTTCATTTGAGATGTTACTCAAACAAATTGTCTTTCTTCTCAAAAAGATGCTAAGCTACAGATTATCTTTTAAAACTGATCCATGTCTGTGATGTGAGTACGCTCAGCCGCTGCTGCTGTTGCTACAGATGACCCGACTTCTACAAATTCCTGAGACCAAGGATCACCTTGCCCAAGAAGGCAGAGCTGGGACTCAGATCCAGACATTTCTACCCCCAAATCCCATACTCTAAACCATTCTGCACATATTTATGCACAAAGGACCTCAACCTCGAAAGGCATCCCAGGACTCTGTGCCTGCTCTCCTCTCCCAAACTGCCTCAGACATCCCACAGGAAGTTTTGATGTCGTGGAGTGGCTTGAACTGGGGACAGGTTTAGTGTTAACTTGAAAACAGAGTCATCACTGGACAGAACTGTGAGCCAAGGACAAGACAGCTAAGGGAAAGACATGGGAACAAAATAAGGGAAGCAAATATATAAGGAAGAATTAGATGGAGTTAAAGAGGGGAGCATGACATTGATTTGTTGATGCTTGAATTAACCTGTATATATGATAAAGAGACTTCATGTACCAGACCTGTTAATAATCCAGGACGTGCTGGGTGAGATACTTACCACATAGGTGTTCATAGTCGTGAGCAAGAGACTTAACATGCTCCCATTTTAGTGAATAATGTGCCCGTAATAAGGGCCACAATACCAAGCTTACTGTAAGATATTTTTCTTCTTGTATTAAGGTCCTTATGGTTAAAAACCACAAAAAATAGAAGTTTACTATTATCAGATTTTTCAAACTATTTATAGCTCTTTAGACTCAGTGCTGCAGACCGAATGCTTATGTCCCCTCCACCCCAAATTTATATGTTAAAACTTAACTCCCAACTGTGATAGTATTTATAGGCAGGGCTTTTGAGGAAATTATTAAGTCCTGACGGGTCCACCCTCTGAATGAGATCAGTGCTCTTATAAAAGAGGCCCCAGAGAAATCCCTCTACCTTTCCACCCTGTGAGGACACAGCGAGAAGATGGCAGTCTGTGAACCAGGAGGCAAGCTCTCACCAGATACCAAATCTGCCAGCACCTTGATCCTGAACTCCCCAGGCTCCAGAACTATGACAAATAAATGTCTGTTGTTTAAGCCACCCAGTTTATGGTATTTTGTTATAGCGGCCTTAACGGACTAACACACCCAGTAATTTCCTCTATAACAATCTAGCCCAATCTAATCTGATCCTAAACTAAGAAAATAATCAAAGATAAACACCCTTACATATAAATTATCACCACTGTGCAAAACAACTACATCATCCAAAAGCAGAGCTTTTATTAAATAAACCATGTTTCAAATTTTACATCTATTTACCAAAGTTGAAAACGTGCATAATATAAATAAATACAAAGATTACAATTATATCCACATCATAACCTGATTTTATAACAAGTATGTATACACAAATTATCAGAAACAGATAGATCATAGGGTTTTTCTGGCAGTGGTTATTTTTTATAAACAGATTAATTTTTATACTTTTCTGTATTTCTGGATTCTTTACAGGCATGAATTACATTTTGATTAAGAAAAAATATTTCAGTCAACAGTATACAGTTACTACACATGCTTGTGTACTGCATAGCTTATGTGCTATTGGTAAGTAGGAGGATACATAGTATAATTTAGACACAATTCTTCCCAGGCAAAGGGGAAGGGAATAGCAGAAGTAGTAGAACCTTCAGTGGGAGAGGAAAAACATTCTTTTTTTTTTTTTTTTTTTTTTTTAAGATTTCACCTATTTGTCAGAGAGAGAGAGGGAGAGAGAGCAAGCACAGGCAGACAGAATGGCAGGCAGAGGCAGAGGGAGAAGCAGGCTCCCTGATGAGCAAGGAGCCCGATGTGGGACTCAATCCCAGGACGCTGGGATCATGACCTGAGCCGAAGGCAGCTGCTTAACCAACTGAGCCACCCAGGTGTCCCAAGGAAAAACATTCTTAGCTTGGATGTCACCCTGGCTGCAGGATCTCTTGTAGCTTTATCATAAGAAAATTAAACAGGAGTCCCTGCACACAGGATCTTTTCCCAGAGGGGCTCTGCCTCACCTTGCCTTCACCTGTCCTGCTCTAGGGAGAAAGGGTTGCCAGCATGTGGCCTTTGAGAATCATTTGGGAATTTTATTTACTTATTTATATATTTTTTAAGATTTTATTTATTTATTTGAGAGAGAGATAGAGAAAGAGAGAGAGCACAAGCAGAGGGAGGGTCAGAGGGAGAAGCAGACTTCGTGCCAAGCAGGGAGCCCAAAGCTGGACTCAATCCTGGGACTCCAAGATCATGATCTGAGCCGAAAGCAGTCGCTTAACCAACTGAGCCACCCAGGCACCCTCATTTGAGAATGTTAAATGTGAGCTGTGCCAACCTCCAGCCACATGGGAGCCGCTTGGAGGAACCACAGTGCCTTTCCAGGTACTAAGAACCATTTTTGTTAGAGCTGTTGCTACAGTTCCAAAAATTTTTGAATGGCTTGCTCTCCATCCTTATGAGTCCTGCAATTTAGTGCACATTTTGCAGAATGGGAAGTTTTTCAGACACATCACTTTAGCAGAAACACCTACATGTTGCTGTGTTGATTGCTTTGGAATTTCATTATTTCAATTTCTAGTTCCTTTGCTGTTGATGATTTCTTTTTAAACAATTTTTGACAAGGACAAATGGAAAATAGCCCATTCTTCACATGAACAGCATGAAGTTTCTCTTTGAACTCTAACTTGAGTATCTACCAATGTTCTATTAAGATGATGACAAGACTATATGTCCAGTATGTGGTGCCAAAAAACGAGGAAATAATTTAGCTGCAGGGTCCAATTCTTCTTAGACCTATAATTATGCTCTTGCTTAATCTGCAATCCAAAGATGCATCAGGACTGGACTCTTGAGCAAGTAGCTGCCTCTCTGTAAGTAGGGTTTTTAGGAGCATCAGGAAAATACTCCTGCCTAAAATGTCTATGCTGAAGGCTCTAAATTGCCAATAAGAAGTCAGCACGTGCATCCTTTCCCTACGTCTTCTCATAAAAGTGTAAGGGAACATGTGCTACTGGGATCTACTGAGAAAGGAAATACTGTGATAATTTCCAAGTTAGCAGCATTTAACCAACTGCAACACAATTTCAATCAAACTATTTCATGTACAGTGTTCAACACGGTGCAGTAACCCTTCCTTGCCATCCCAGTTTTGCTCTTAGGCCTTGTCCCTGCCGGCTCTCTTTTCTGTGCAGATTTTGCTGACTCCCATTCCTGTTGCAAGCCTTCATCACCATTTCCTTCCACAGCCCTCGTCCTCCCTTCACTGAATCACTATTTTCTGTGTGTTTACTGTATGCCAGGAAGTAAGCATTATTTACCTCCTGCCCTAGAAGAAATGTGGCATTTATTTTCCTGACTTTTAAGATAACCTGTTCCTTAAGAACAGATTGTACTATATCCTGAGCTGGGGGACTAGTTAAGGGAATTCACTTCTACCACGGACAATGTGGCTGAGTATCCAGTGGGGAAATTCTATGGGGAGAGGATGCTGGTATGGTAAACAGCAATGAACTGAAGACCGAGTCAGCTGATTTTAGTCCTGGTTAGGGAAAGCCTGTGCTTATCTAGAAATAACCAGAACGGTAGTAACCATACGGGATGGGGGACTTCCTATTCACTCTGCATTATACTAACTTTCTTCTCATATTATTTTGAAAATTAGCTTTAATATGTGTAGTGTTAACACTATTCTTTGTAGGCTCCTCTTCACAGGCTTGTCTATTTGGTATTTTTGTGGTGTCAGAATATTCACTACAGATTTATTTTCAGGTCCTAAGATAAAAAAGCTGGGGCCATTTGGGGCATGGCAAGGGTTGCTCAAAATCAGACTTCAATGGTTTAAGAGCCAAACCACATGAGAAGAACTTGGGCCTGTTACACTGTGATTTTAATTCATTTTTAGGATGTTCTAATGAAAATTATGAAACATATTGATTTAATCTAATGTCCTACTTGCAAAAGTCTTCATATTTCTGGTCATTTAGGGAGGAGTCAGAATACACCTTTGATAATATTATTGGCCTAGGTATAAATTTTTCAAGTTTCTGCTTAAGACAACAATTGCTAAGAACAGAAGGATACCAGATATATTAATTGTACACAATCTTAAGGTATGGGTGGGGACCACATGGCATTGCTCCCTATTCACCCCACTCATCTGGTAACTGTTACACTTTGAAAATTGACACCACTTCTCTTTTTGCCAATAATAGGCATGCCTTTAAAAAGATGGGTGGATCTCTGATGGAAAAAAATGGAAGGGTGAAAACATGTCATATATTATGGGAACACTTTTTCTAAGGAGATTGGAATTAAATAATTAAACTTTTATTTTAAAATTTCTGTTAAATGCTAAGTACTTCAACAACAGATTGTTTAGGGGTACCTGGGTGGCTCAGTTGGTTGAACACCTGACTTCAGCTCAGGTCATGATCCCAGGGTCCTGGGATTGAGCCCCACATTGGGCTCCCTGCTTAGTGGGGAGGCTGTTTCTCCCTCTTCCTCTGCTGCTCTCTCCTGCTCATGCTCTCTTACTCTTTCTCAAATAAATAAATAAATAAATAAATAAATAAATAAATAAAATCTTTTAAAAAGTGATTGTTTAGCTAGTGAACTGGTAAGATAAATACGTTTTTTAAAAATATAGACATAACGTATTAAAACTAGGTCCTTTCAGCCATTGTTCTAGATTGAATCATTTTATATATATATTTATATATATGATATTACATTATGTACGTATTATATAAATATAAAATAAAACCCAATAGTAAACATTAGGTTTCACCTCCATAAAGAGTGTTCTAGATTCTCAGGAGTGAAACAGCAAAATTACGATAAATGTGTTTTTTCTTTCACAAGATCACGGATCTCAAGTAATACAATTTATATAGAAAGAATCACTGTTTTGTTTATGCACCTTGTCCTTATTTTTCTGAGGTATAGGTAGTTAGGGATGATACTTAAAGTGTTTGATATGTGGTAGAACAAAGGCACCGACCAATCAGAAGAGACCTCTGCTACACTTCCCAGTGCAAGCGCACCACCTCTTGCCACTAGAACACGTGGTTAGATACAAGAATTACTTATTTAATGTGAACAGATGCTTAAGATCGGGCTTCTTTAACATCTGCATTTTTTTTAAAGATTTTATTTATTTATTTGACAGAGAGAGATCACAAGTAGACAGAGAGGCAGGCAGAGAGAGAGAGAGAGAGGGAAGCAGGCTCCCTGCTGAGCAGAGAGCCTGATGCGGGACTCGATCCCAGGACCCTGAGATCATGACCTGAGCCGAAGGCAGTGGCCTAACCCACTGAGCCACCCAGGCGACCCTAACATCTGCATTTTTAACATAAATAGCTATCATCTAAAAATAGATAACCTAAAGTTCAAATTGTTTATACCTTTTCAAATATCTCTGTTTAGAAGATGCTAAGGATTTTTTTTTTAAAGATTTTATTTATTTATTTGACAGAGATCACAAGTAGGCAGAGAGGCAGGCAGAGAGAGAGGGGGAGGTAGGCTCCCTGCTGAACAGAGAGCCAATGCGGGGCTCAATCCCTCGACCCTGGGATCATGACCTGAGCCGAAGGCAAAGGCTTTAACCCACTGAGCCACCCAGGTGCCCCAGAAGATGCTAAGTTTTTGTTGCATGGAAATTTTAGGTGTAAGCATGTACAGGTGAATGAAAACATTTCTCAATGTATCTTTTGCTTAAAACTTTGAAAGTAACTTTATTTCATATCTCTTAAAATATTGCTTTTAAAAGCAGTTTCAGAGATGTCTGTCTGAATATTTGTATTGATATTGACTTTATTTGGATTAAAATATATACCTCTAAAATATCAAATCTGTTTTCAGAATCAATTCTAAGTGGCCATGTAAGATGCTCAAGGCTATCTCAACTGGTTTCTTTTCAACTTCCTGTGTTCCAGAGCTACCCAAGAGCACAGATGGCTTTTCAGAAGGCAACAATGAAGAAAGTCTCACAGAGAAGCCTTAAAATAGCTTTTCAATGAATTTGGGTTTTCCTCTGGAAATAGCCAAGAGTTTCAAACCATAGCTTGTCACAGCTGGCTGGAGTTGGGGAGTACTCTGCCTCACAGCTTGAAGGGATAAAATATCTGGCTCTGGGTCATAGATGCAGAAAGTGTCCTCCTGGACCTTCTAATCATGGCTATTTGTGATATGAAAAATAAATTAAGTTCCTTGGGAGTAAACATCAAGAATCTTTCCCAATTTTGCTGAGTAACTCTCACTAGATGAAATATTCTGCCACAAGATGTTATTGGAATATGATTGCTGATAAAAAGGAATGAAAGAAATGACAACATTGAGTCACATGTAAGACAAAGCAGGCCAGCCAAGAGGGTGGGAGATAAGATATGTCTCCTAGGTAACCGTTTACAACATGACTGAGGATTGTTCTAGAAGAGAAAAAAGAGCAAATCTATTCCCTGTGATTGGATTTAAGACAAACAAAGCCAAAGGGACCTTAATAAGGAATGACACAAGTCAATACTTAGTACTGGCCAAATGATTGTTTGCAAAAAAATTTCGGAGCTTAACCAATATATAGCCTTACTAACTGCAAGATAGCAAAATAAAACTCATATAGAGCTTAATTATCATAAAATCAAACCACTTATAAAACTAAAATCAAAATAAGGAAATATTTGTCTGCTCTCTGGATAGGCAAGAGCTTTCCAAAGTATAATGCAATTGAAAATATGACAATGGAAAAGACAAATAATTTGATTAAACAAATTATGAGACTTGCCTATTTCAAAAATTCCCATAAACAAATTTGGTAACAAATGTGAGAATAATGTTCCTAGTTGATATCACAAAGGTTGATATTCTTTAATTGATAGTCTTTAAACTATACAATAAAACCTTTGAGACTCCTAATAAAGAAATTTTAGAACTAAACTATTCAATAAAACCCATAAGACTCCCAAAAGGTCATTAAATGGAAAATACAAATGGCTAATAAGCAAGTGAAGAAAGTAGTGCTATTTTAGAAATCTGAGAAATAGACATTTAAAAAACCATTTTACTATTACATTAGCTGAAAATTTAGTGATGGAAATATAGAACATTGATAATCGGGGCACTATAGCAAGATAACTCTAATAGATTGGTAGCAAGATTGTGAAGTGGCACAAACTTTCCAGAAAGAAATTTGATCATATATAATAGGAAGTTTTCAAAATGTTAATGCCTCCTCTACCTGCTCAGGACATAATGGCCTTCACATTATAATTCGGCATGTGACTTAAAATGCAAACATGTCTGTGAGGGTTGTAACAATGGTTTACATTTATAACAGGCAGTACATACCTAGTATGGTGCTTCCTGAGAAGAGATTTTTGACAAGTGGGTGGAAAGAGGGAACAAGGGACTGATTTTCTGTAGTGAGGGGTGGGGGGTCTAGATGGAGGGGATTGTCAAGCACATAAGATGTGCAGGTATTTACTGGACTCAAGAGAGGCTAGGCACAGTAAAAATAACCCAAGCCAGCTGCTTCATTGTTTTGAAAAGATTGGCTTTTTTAAGTAGGAAGTGAGAGAATAGAGGGAAGAGGACCGAGGACAGAAATGAATAATACCGATGTAAACAGAGCATGTCCAAGTTCACTCTGGCAACGTGTTATTCTAAAAAACAATCCACTGCCCAGAAGATAATGAGGATAACCTCAAAACACCTGGGATATGGAAATACCTGGGTAACTACATCTACATTGAATACCAGTATTTTAGACCTTTAAACATATTAGATTATCTGGTCTCATACTTCCACCTCCGTTTTCTGAAAAAGAAGCAAATGCCTAAAGCATTACGTACTTTACAGAAGCCCCAGAGCCTGTCAGTTAATCCCATTTCAGCACTTCCTAACAGACCCACCAATTTCCTGATAAAAACAAAATAAAACAACAACAATAAAAACATTCCTGAGAATAACCTGGTACCTACCACTGTGTGGACTTGGTCATAGGTGCTTTGGATCTTCCCATTTACTTTTTTACCTGACAGAAACAAGGGGAAAATAACATTATTTTCATTCTTTGTGCTCCTAAATTAATTCTCCCTATTCACTATGAAGAACTGGAACTCCTGTTCTAAGTCCGGCACGTTAATCATATTATTTGTTCACTATCATTTCAAACACTGAGTCCAATGCAGTTTGAATGAAGGGATCACAGGAAGAGAGCCCAGGCCCCCTGAAGTCTTTTTATGTTCACTTCTATTGGCCCTGCTTTCAATTCTGAACACCTGCACACATCACTGCTGTTTTCACTCAGTTGGTGCTCATAGATCTGAGACTGACTTAAAATATTACAATGGCCAAAGAACTGTTGTTATCAATGGAAGCATCAAACATCAGCTTATCATTTTTTTTGTTTGTTTAAAAAAATTCATTAACATAAAAGATTCTGAAATACCAATACTCAAATTCTGTTCACTTTTGTATCTTTTTAAGTACTAGAGGATGGCAACTAACTCATCTCATACTTAAGAATAAAATAATTAAAAATTCAGTACTTAGAAAAAAAAGGGGGGTAAAAATGACAGAAAGCTCACTGACGCAGTTCCAGGTACTTACTGCCAACAACAGTCTTGTGATTGAAAATCTTACTCCAAATTCCACCTTCTCCATTGTCTTTTACTCCGAATTCATAAACTGTGTTGGGTTTTAGATTTTCCACGATTGTTTCGGTGGCCGGACAGAGTTGGAAAACCCATTTTTTTTCCTTATCTTTTTCTCTATAGCGAATTGTATAGTATCTGTTGAATAACCAAAATATGACACTTGAAATTCACAGGGAAGTTCAGAAAGCTATTTCAAATTTTTTTTTTTTTTTTTTTTTTTTTTTTTTTTTTAGAGATTTTATTTATTTATTTGACAGAGAGAGAGAGATCACAAGTAGGTGGAGAGGAAGGCAGAGAGAGAAGGGGAAGCAGGCTCCCGGCTGAGCAGAGAGCCTGATGCAGGGCTTGATCCCAGGACTCTGAGATCATGACCTGAGCCGAAGGCAGAGGCTTTAACCCACTGAGCCACCCAGGCACCCCGCTATTTTAAGTTTCTTAATACATCACAGATTCCCATCTATTTCAAGGATTGTGTTTAATACTGACTTCTGTTTTTATTTTTTATTTTTTAGAAATTGCAGAGAACATGAAAAAAATTGCTCAGTGTGTACTTATTTTTAATTTCTAATTCCAAGTTGGAGAGCATGCAGCAGTGTACTTACAGACAGAATTCGGACCTCTCAGTTCTGTTATTTACTACTTTGCAAAAGGAAAGTTGGAGAATGCTGGATGTTCATTTTTTTTCCAATTACGCATCATGTATAGACATAATTTTCCAAGTGTGTCATACTGTATTCTTTCAGCTATATGAGGTTAAGCCTAGAACTGTATGGGTTTATGCCACAGAACGTCCCATCAAGGTAGTATCATTCAATTTTGTGAAAGGGGAACCTGAAACTCTAAGATGCATTGAGGACTGCCTTTTAAGGGTAAAATTTTCTTATTATCATAAAAATAGAATCAGGAACAAAGCCAAGCTAAGTGTACAATTAAAAAAAAAGAAACAATGCAAATTTAAGATCATGGTCATGTATATGCTTAGGGCTTCAAAATATTCAATCATACCTATGGTAAAGTAATGAAAATCCTCACCACTTTTTTTGCACTTTTATCACATGTGAGGTTTTATATATAGTATCTCATTTAAATGTCCTAAAGTCATCTTAAGTGGTAGAAGTTATTAATCCCATCTTACAAATGTGAAAATAGAGATTCAGAAAGATCACTTAATTTCCCCTTTATTACCCACCTAGTGACTTTAACCAGTGGCAGAACCAGAATACAAACACTTCTCTTGACTCTGCTCTAAACAGCCTCACAAAGAGGGCAGCAGATCAGGACAGGAGATTTTCTGCACACGGTAACAAGAATGAATGAGCTAGAGCTATGTGTATCAATATCAACAGATTTTACAAATAAAACATTGAATGAAAATAGCAAATTACAAGATGATACATATAGTCTCAAATGACTTACACAAATACTGAAACGCTCACCAAAAAAAAAACAAAAAACAAAAAACAAAAAAACTATGCTACCATGTACTATTCCTGGCAGTGTAAAAGGACAACAAATATTGCAAGGATCCAACATTTGTATTAGAGCTTTAGTTCCCAGTGAGATAAATGAGATTAGAAGTGGGGCCAACAGGTAGATTTTATCTGCTTTTTACTCGTGAATAAACATTTTCAGTACATAAAATTATACCTGTAGAGTATGATATGGAAACATAGGTGTTTGATGTACTATTTTAGATTCTTCTATTTTAAATATTCTCTCAAAAATTTAGTACCTTTCCCCCACTCCCCACTGTAGCATAAGTTAATGGGCAAAGGTTCAGGCTAGTTGCTTTTATTTAAAGCTTTACGATGTCATTCATACACTTGCGCTAAAAAACGTTTACTGTGCTGCCTCTTAGTTGTCAATGTTATACAAACACAATTACCCAGAATCTCTGGAAACAAAGGCCAGGACAGGCTACATAATTTATGAGGCTCACTCCAAAATGAAAACATGGGACCCCTTGTTCAAAAACGATTAAGAATTTCAAGACAATTTCAAGACAAGGACAGTAGAGCATTAAACCAAGCATGTGCCCTTCTAAGTAGGGGACCCTGTGCAAATGCACACATTGAATGTCTGTGAAGTCAGCAGGGGCCGTATTGTTTAACAAATACAGAGAAGGGGTCATTTTCTATGTTTCCGTACATTTGTACCTTGAACGTATTTGTATATTCAGCCTACTTTCCTACTAGTTACAAGCTACTGAAATGCTTGGAGTTGTTCATTATCTTCCTTCTTTCTAGTAAAACTACTGTCAGGGCTCCAGTCCCTGATTTCAAAGGAGCAAAAGCCAGAATGAGTGAAGGAGACTGTTCAGCCAAAATATTAACTGCTACTGGGAACAAACAGTATAGAATAGTAATCCCCTGTGGCCTGTGAGTTGAAACATCAACACAGATCTATGAAACATTTATTGACAAGTATGCTGCATGGAATTTTTACTGTTTTTTTTTCCTTGCCTTGGATACTACATGATGCCAGAGAAGTGCAGAGAAGCTGCAATCAGACCAGATGGGCTACCGCAATTATGCAGTTCTACTTTGGATAATTGTCTGAATTCCTCAATTTCTCATGTAATGGGGGGGGAGGCATAGCTAACATAATGAACAAAAGCCAGATTCCAGGGTTACCTATAGCTTGATTTTACATCAGCTTTCTAGGAATGAAATGGTATAAAAATGCTTTACAAACTTACCCACATGTTAAAAAAAAAAAAATCCATCCTGCAAATTTTTTACTTGGATCATAAAGCATTTGAAATACCCTCTCTGATACCAAGTTTGTCAGGCAAAATAAACATACAGACAGCTAACCTTTCTCTTCTGCTTCAGAGAGGTTATCTTTGTTAACAGCGATTTAATTGATAACTGTATAATACAGGCAAGTTCTAAGTGTTAAAAGAGTCAGTAAGACTATTTGGTGTAAAGTAATGAGTCACATTTCCTTGATTTTAAAGCTAGATTTAGGCCTTATGATAATAAACAAAGCTGAAACCTAGTACACAGAAGGTACTCCATAAATATTTGTGGAATGAATAGAACAGACACTTAGGTGCTCATGGGGTCATTCTAAAATTAGAATATAATTACTCTAAACGGCCAATAACCCCATCACCAAAAAACACTGATCTAAGGAATCAAGTTTACAGTAATCTTTTTCAATGTCATTGTGTAATATTTCACTTACCAAACTCAACATTCCTCGAAAATCAGAGCAAACTGAAGGAAAATACAATAAATGTCTACACCGAACTTTTGCAGAGGGCTTAAGATTTTAAAATGTGTTTCAGTTTATTCATACAATAAAATATGAAGGGAGAATAAGAATTATTATAGGAGAAAAAGAGAGGTGATAAGTGTCTAAGTTCTGGTAATCAATGACAGTGCCAGGCAAATGGCTGTTTTCTGACTCCTAAGCTAATACCTTTATTATCGCACTGGCCTGTCTTTCTAGTATGGTGCTTGGCAAAAGGAAATGGAAAAAAAGATAGGTAAAATGACCCAGAAAGGAAAAGGACAATCCTAATTCCTTTTAACATTACGTACGTTTTATTATTTCATTGTGTATTTACCGTAACATAGAGTCACAGACTTCCCATTATTGTCTAAAGACACTGAGGATTAAACGCTGATCCCACCCTTTTCTGTTAATAATTAAATTTGGACACAAGTGCAACAATCTAGTAAAGATACAGGTAGCAGTCAGTGAAGGTCATCAGATCAGAACTCTGGAAAGCCTGCCTCTAGCAACTTGGACTTTAAGAATAAGAACATCTCACATCCTAAGTGGTAAGGAACTGTTGGAGGTAGTGTTCCGTTCAAGTACCATTATCTCTGCTTATATCCCTGATAGTATGAATATTGACAATAATGGTTATTGTAGTTAAATAAAATCCATAGCTCCTCGACATGTGGAGAAGGCAAGTAGTGGCTTGGTTTGGACATTTATCAGCTGCAAACCAGTAGCCTGCTCTCATTGGAGTCTTTGCCCACTTATTCATCACTTTTCTCCCTCAAAAGAGAATGCGGGTGGACTAGACAATCTTTGAGATCCTTTCTGTTCTTAAAAGATGACTGTAGCTGCATATTAGGCATCTTATTCCAATAAAACACAGAGACAGAACACAGGATAGAAACCCCATAAACAAAATTTATGAAATAACTGGGAGTGACTTACCAAGAGCAAAAATTGAGTAATGTCAAGATAATTTTAGTCCTTTCACAAACTAGCCTGGCTTGATACATGTGCTTGGCTATCATTTGGGCTTTCCATGCTTTTTTTCAGCAATGTTTTTGTTTCTCTATAATTAACTACCATTATATTTCCTAAAACATCTATTCTGCACATTTTTTTTTGTTCTCTTCATATCAAAGGACACTTATTGACACCCCCTTTGTCAATATTTTTGCTTCTTGCCTTACGGAGACTGTGATTGTTGATATAAATTCTGTCCTCACACTATTCTTCTCAAAGTGTCTCTCCCCATCACTCCCTCCCTGCCACCCTACTCCCTCTGATTCCAGAGTTCTCCCTCTGCCAACACATAAGCATCTTGGTAATTTTATACCATTTCCTTATTCCATTCACTCACTCTCTGTGCTGAACAACTCTTTAAATATTTTTCACTCTAACAAAAATAAAACAAATATTCCCTTTTTATCCCTGCTTTCTTTCAACACAAAATCTGGACTGAAAACCAAGCAGTCCAGATTTAAAACTAATGGTAGGAGCATGACTCCTATATTCTTGGAGATAGACAGTTTGAGAGATTCTATGATTTCTTTCACTAGGCAGTGGGGAGCTGGTGGATATTCTTCAGCTGGTGAATAAAGTTGAGCAGCTACAAAGGAGGCTAGACTTACCAGCAGTGGAAGAATTAGAGGAAAATTAGAGGGAGGAATCTCAGTGCTGTAGTCCAGATATGAGAGAACAAAGGAATGAATCATGGAAGAAACAAAAGGAAAATAGATCAAAGTTATATCTTTACAAAAGAACTGATGAGACTAGATTCCTTATGGGATACGGATGTTAAGAAAATTGTAAATACAAATGAAAACTGAATTTCTAAACTTGAAGGAAATTAAAGTAATGAAATAATGAAAAGGAGTTCTTTAGGTATTATAGAAGATATG